GAACAGTTACGATGTTGACCAAGTCTTCTTCCCGAAAAATGGTGAAACCTAGAAATAATTACCCAATGTAGTGCATTCTTCATTCACACTCTTATCATAAAAGTACTTTAATTTTAAATTCTTGATGTATGACAAAAGGTAAACTAAATCCCATGGACTTAATTATCCATGTTACACAAGCGCATTTTTGTTGATTGTGTCTCAGAAATAATCTGGACAAATGATGGCTCCTTCTGAGAACTCCAAGCCACCATATTTTCCTGTAACCAGCCACTTATTGATACTACTAATGTTTAGGTAAATAAAAAAGAACTCATTGAGAAAAGTCCGATCATTACTGATACTACTTCCGGACGAGATCCCGAAACCTATATCTATAGATTTCCTAGATTCATTATTCTGGCTGTTGCTTTGTAATTTCATGTGCCACCATTACTTATACACTAAGACACTACTAAGTAGGTGACAGTGTCATATTGTCCGGTCCATTATTTTTATGATATGAAGTATGCAATTATAAACAGCTATTTGTTGATTTAATCAGCAATAAACATCTCAGATTGCTTTTCATTTTTCACATTGTCAGAATCAAATTTCATGCAAAAATGATTTCTAGAAATAAATGCAACTAGTTTCACTATTCAACCAAACCTTGATATACAAAACTAGTTTTCGCTGATTGAAATATGCCAGCACATCAAAATGTACTCTGGTGGATAAAAAGTCTGCACCTAAAATAGATTAGTCCTGTCCTTTCCTACTACAAATAACCAGGAAAAATGTATACGTTCTCCATTTAAAAAGAGAACTTGTTTGTCATCTGGTCTAATTTCGACAGTTAACATCTTGCCAAAAATCATATGGATATGCAGCCATTGAAAGCCAACCTGGAACTTGAGAACAAAAGTCTCAGAAAATCTAGGAAGATTGCTGAGCTAAGCAAGAGTTTACCTCTTGGACACCAAACTTCATACTACCCTTGCTGACTATGTGGCAACTTCTGACCTCACAACTTTTAAACTTTCTGGCAGTGTGCAAGTATGAAAGTAGTACTTGATTTTCAAACAGTGTTAATCACACCTCTTTAACTGAATTAAAACAAAGGTTTAAAAAGAATTATCACCCAGATGACGACAACTAGTGATGTCATTTGAGGATCTTTCTCCTGTAACTCTTGTGGTTTTAACTATGAATACGAGACATTTCACATCTGGTTTCTGTATCAAATACCATCATTGACAGTGACTCCAACAGTATAATAGGCAGCCCCAGCAATTTTCGCAAAACTCAGCTATGATTGACATATCGTTCGCGCCTGTGTACTGTTGCTTGATGCTTCATGACTGATGCCTAAAGATGTGAAGTGAAGTAGTAGTATGGTTAGATCACTCCACTTACCTAGGACGCTGTACTAGATAAAAAAAGACCACCTGATAAATAAGTCTAAATTCAAATATGCAAGACTCGTTTGACATCGTTCAACCTATATGATCTCTTGATTTGGCATGATAGCTGACCATAAACCAAACGAAAAGCATATTGGTCATCATCGCTGCTGGATTATTATACAGCTGAGACAGATCCCAAAATAAAGCAGAAGAAATACAGGTGTTCCAAGCTCGTTGTCATGTTTCTGTAGCAGTGCTGAGTTTAGTGAAACCACTGAGTCTGCTACTTAAATGTCAGGTGTAAAGTCTAAAGCTCAGGACGCAATTCAGTCAATTGCTTTTACGTGCCATGTAGTGTGAAGTAGGAGGCTGTTAGTCAGACTGATAAATACAATCAGTCCACATCTTCTGTGACTTTAGCTATGAGCTATACAAGAAAGAAATGTAGATCTTGGGATTGTGATTGTAGAAATACTATAGATCAGTGACTGGAGGCTCCTGGTTATAAAATAGTAATTCGGCCACAATGGTGTAGAGTAGTTACTACCCATCATACCTGGAACTGTGACCCTTTTTAGTGTACTCACTTGCTTGTTCATACTCTCACTTTTGTCACCTGGATTTCATTCTACTTCTGTTCATCTTCCTTTTCTGCGTATGTTTGTACAAGTAAAAAATTGAAAGGATTTACTTCCGTGCAAGTATATTCTCTGGTTTCTCATGCTTTTACAACTATGAACACAGCTATATTGATTACTTTCTTAGTTAAATATTCGTTATACCAGAGCTAACGGTTTTTATCACCTCCCGTATACAGATCATAAGACCTTACTTTTAGTTCCTGGGAGTTTCTAAGACTACTTTTATAGTACATTTTAAAGGAACAATATATATATATATATATATATATATATATATATCAGATATTTTTGAATAACCTATATATTGAGGTATTTCTTAAGTCAACCATTTGTCGAATATTGTAACTTAGTAACTAATAGCATGGATTCTTCTGAGACTTTCAGTTTTTCAAGTGTGAGGTTAAGCCATAGGGGAAATCCAATATTGTCGGTGCAAATGACACAGAAGTAGATAAAATGTGAAATCAAAGTATCGAATGTTAAATGGCAGTTTGCATACGGTTGTAGGGAAAGAATTAAGTCATGAACGTCATCTAGTGAAAAAAGCTACAGGATTGTGTGCCACAGCAAATAGGTAACTGCAATATGGGCACTGAGCTGAGTCAACTTTGTCACACACAAATGGTTGTTTTTTACCCATGTTTTACACTTCTCACCAACTATTTTGCGTACACTGCTGTCTCTTAATATATTTGAATAGAGCAAGTTTTAACTGTTTATAATTGTCGTTCTCGATCTATTCAAACTACCTTCTAATCTTGAAGGCTTTCACTGTCTTTCACTTACCATACTTCTTATGATAACAATTAAAGTTACTGACAGGCTCAATAGTTTGCTGCCTTTCACTTTCACTAAACGTAAAAGACTCCTCCTTCGTCACGTTAAAAAATGGTTACTTGCAATCGAATCCTTAGTCTTTTACCTAATAAAATTAATTTCAGAAGAAGATATACAAGCGAAGCAAAATGGCATGGATTTATCTAATTTCTCGCATACTATTTATGATGCACAGCGTTTAAACATCAAAAACCTTATATTTAGGTATACAGTGTAGTGAAACAAAGTCTGAGAAAGGAGCCAGAATATTGTATTAGGGCACAAATAGAATTTAAGTAGACATGCTGAGAATTTGCGGGTATGTAAATTCAAATTCACTAAAAATTCAGCAAAGTTGATAAGGATAGTAGAACACTCAAATAACATTTCAGATAAAAAAACATGTACAATTCATTTAAGGGATACCTAAGCAGATACAAAGCAGATAAAATTCGTGCAAGAATGTTATGGAATTCAATATAGCTGGGTTCAAAATGCAATGAGCTTTAATAAAAGTTTGATCAAACCGAATAATGTGAATTTATAACAGTTATCAGAAAAAAAGAAATACTCTTCAATTGCAATTATTTTGCAAAACGTTATTAAAAATTTAAAAATCACTGCAGAAAGTGAAAACCAGCACTACGTTGGATGAAACTTTAATTTGAATCTGAATGAGAAAAGTGAAATTTGTACATAAACATCCAATATGAATGAATCCATAGTACTAGTCTTATAGGAAACGAAAGCAGTAGAACTGATGATTGATTTTATTAAGCAGACTATAATTAGTACTAGCAAAGTACTTTAAGCATGCGTTTAACACTGTTCATACAGACAATATCTTTAGTCTGCATCCGAAATAAATTATCCTTCAATTTCTTTCACTTCCAGGATTAGCCAAGATATTAAGCCATTATATTTATCTTTCCGTTTCACAGAACTTTCACGGGTTGACTGCCAATCATTGGTAAATTTCACAACAAAGCAATACGTGCCACATATATACACTTATAAGAAGCACGCGTCATGGTTGTATATATCGATGCACACTGATTTAGATAGGTGAGAAATCGATTCTGAACGCTCGTAAAATAAGTTGTACCAACGTACACAGATATCTTTTTAGGTTTGCAGAAAGAAGTATTCTCCTCAAAATCAATTTTGAGGGACTAGTTAGAGCTTTTGTTGAATTGTTTCATCATTCCTGTGGACTCATGTATGTTGTCTTCTAACATACGTTTATCATTACCCATTTCACTGTTTGTTTACTCATTACATTCTTTGTTGCAAACCGGGTAAGATACTCATCCTTCTAAAAACATTATCTTTCTTTTAACCATCTACAGGTTCTCAGTTCATACTTCTCCCACAATTTTGGTAGAGATTTAAGTTTTTATTTCCCCACAATGAGAAAAGATAGTTGAAACAGAGCCAAACATCTTTAGGTTCCAGAAGACACAAAGCAGAAATCTCTTCCTAACTTTCAAGCTTGCAAGTAAAAGTAATCACTTTATGGCATTTAATGAAATTCGATAACAGGCATTTGATATTAGCACATTTATTACCTATGGTGAATGTGTTATTCATCCCGCAGTAGTAGATATGTTTTCTTGTATTATTCTTCAACTTGTTCATGTAAATGACTACCTGTAGAGGTGTTAGTGAGTAATCTATGCAGACACCACTTATTTTCATATATAACTTTGAAATGATTTAAAACTAATTTCATACTACATTAAAGAGTAAGGTGTGTCGAGTCTATTGTCTGGCAAGTTTACTCGATCATTTCCACAAGAGAAATCTACATCCGGAGTTAACATCAACATATTTTCTATATTCTAACCTTTAGTTAAATCAACCAACAAGTTAAATGTTTTATTTGCATGTCATCCTTCTTAGCTACCTTCAGATTTTTATTTAATAAAAGGAAAATCTCGATGAATTTTTGAACAAGTTAATTTTATTGTCCACCAGGTATTCAGTTACAAATTTAACTTTTCAATTCAATAAAGTTGTGGATAATTAATGTAGTTGGATTAGAATTTAGGAATAACAGATTTTTCCAATATATAAAATAGTATAGAACATGTAAAATAGAACACAGTAGAAACTTCAACATTCGGAAGGAAAATAATTTGTGGACTGTGTTTATTTAGGGCCTAGTTAGCACGAGCCAAGTTCCATAAATCAAGGCTGTCATAGTTAAAAATGGCTTTATTTTCCTAGCATCATTACAAAAACTAATGGTACAGCAGCTGAGAAGATCGTTGATTCTGACTTTAGTACCAATGTCGTTACAAGAATCAATGCATTCCCGTTTTATGTACATTTCTGGGATTCCACTTTTCTAAAAAGTTACAAATTGGAAAGTGAAACCATAACTACGGAAACAAATCCATGTTATAGATAAGTAAGCAACAAAACTGAATGATTTACTCATCGGTATATTGTGCTAACTCTAGTTACTTATTACAGATGCACAAAAATTAGTTATCAGTAGACAAGATCTTATATAGCATAGTGTTGATGGTGTCAGTTGATGTTAATAATTAGGCTTACATTACTCATAACAGTTTCAATGAATTCGATAAGTTCTTATGATTGTATAAACAAAACATGGTAGCTCAATTCATTTCTTATTCATTCAAGTAAAGAATCTTACTGTATAATATCTGAAAGGTCTTCGTTTGGCATGTACTAGAAGATGTAAGTCTGGTGTAATTCGTGTAGGTTAGAACTCAAATTATTTATCTCGAATGAAAGATCATTCTTCATATTCTACAAACGTTGTTTCATATTATCTTGATGTTATCAGCGTCAGCACGTGATATCTGTATAACAAAAGGTATGTTTCACCCTGCCTGCTAAATTTCACGAAGTCTGTCACTAATAAGTAATCACTGTATCAAAAGCTGAGTCTCTCTGTTTAATTATGTGTATTGTAGTAAATATGTGGCATACTGCTTCGAAAACATTACCACTTACATCACTTGCACAACTTTAGAAACATTAAAGCACTTCTGACAGACTTCTTACAAAATATCTGCATTCTGATTGTTTTTACCAATGCAGCGTGTTTTCAATTCCAGGAAACTGCATAGTTCCTCAGATATTCGACTTTCTTTCCACTAGCTCTGTTGTTATTTGATTATTCAAAATGCGATTTATGTTCTATGTGACTGGATTACTTATGAAAGTCGGCTAACGGTTCAACACTGGTCTTATATCTTGTAGACTCTACTGAGAACGAGATTACCTGAGTAGACGAATATATATTTACTTTTTTAGTAAATTGACAGATCCCCTGATACTGCGTGTTTTAGGTTCACATGAATGCTTCCCAGCTATTTATCAGAACAAATATGATCCAAGATAAATGGAAAATTCTACTACTGTCGTCATCACACAGAAGGAGAGAAAATTAGGACTATATAAACTCTGTCTCAAATTTGTGAAGTTACCTGATATGAATATAGACAATAAATTGTGTCCAAAATGTTATCCAGTAAATGATACTGTTCCTTCACCGTGTGACATTTCTAATGAGCGGACTAAGATGGGATAACAGTCTACCACAGTGCCCAAGTTTTACCATTATATTAATAAAACATATCTTTCTTTTAGGAACTAACCGAGATGCCAAAGTGAAATAATCAACAAATGAAAAGGATAAAAGTAGGTTCACTGACTTACAAGACATGCGCCACAATTATCCTTAGTTGTGCTATTCTGGTTCACAGTCAGGCAGTTGTCGCATACGTAGCAGGTTATGGAATAAGCTAAAAAGTAAAACAAAAAGTAGTTTTAGATTTTATTTTCCAAATATATAAGTGCAACCAACCGGTGACAGCTTACCAAAAATATGAAGATTAACACCTATTAAGTGTATATCAGTAAATGAGCAGCTTTTGCTGAACACTAAACAAGTGGATCCTCAGTAGTTGTATATTTGCCTCACTACAATGTTTTCTGCGGACGTTTACAGTATGTGTTAATTCAGTCATTTTTGACAGTCACTTGTAATACAGAACAAAAACTTCATTTCTTATACACTATTCAAAAGATGTAACTGTGAATAACTACTATATCTTCAAGCGTGGTAGATTTATCATCGGAAAACAACGACTCATTTACTCTTTTGTGGTTGAAGCTCAATTCAAAACATTCAAAAATACGTTTATCTTGATGAATTCCCAATGCATTAGATTAATGTACAACAATTTCAATATGTTACCCACCCTTAAATCACACCTAAAGTTTATTTCACGAAAACCTACTGTCAACTCAATAATGAATATGAACTTTTCGTATTGTCAGTTTTTACTTGTATAAGCTAGGACAAATTTCGAATTCAGTTATAAACAATAAAAATATTTTAGAAACAAAGTGTTGGCTAAACGCAATAACTTTTACTCAACTACTGGATTCCTGAATTTCAATGCATCCACCCTTTAACATATCTTAAAGGCCTCTAGCTATCAAATAAGTTGTATCTTCTTCTACTTTGTTCATGCTTCACTTTGGAACCCAGTCAAACTATGAATTCACTATAATTTATCATGTGTGGTTTAAATATGGTTTTGATATAGTCTTTTCAAGACCAGTTATGCATAAATAAATACTGAATCGCAACTTAATGACATCCATATCTGACGAGAAGAATAAAATGTAGATGTTCTACATACCGCCTTTGATACTGAAACAGAAAAGAATGAGAAGTGAAGCAAACCATGAATCAAATTTAGCATGTGCCATATTATCTTCGAAGTATGTCTTCTAAAACTTACATTTCGTTATATAGACATCACATAAAGATTACTATATCGTATCCTTCGGTATTTAACCAATAGTCATTTGCCTTGTTTCACTTTTTCTTAAAATAACAACCAATCGGTTTGTTGGCACTGCACATACTACAGATACTCATTATTTGTTTAAATTTTCTCTTTTTCTGTCAAAATCTATCAGAACGATTGTGTTTCCGACAGGTGGTGAAATTTAAAAAAGGAAAATGTTTATCTGTTCCTAAGTAAAGTGATGTCATTTGACGTGTGTTGTCCTTTTTGAGTTGCCTAAAATAAGAAAGATGCCTAGAAAAAACCTTTAGAAGACCGTTACTAAAAATTAAAGGGCTACACCTAGAAGAAAAACGGATGTGTATTGCCACAAAAAACTCAGAGTGAATCACAAATGAGTCACGGACGGATGAATACTCACCATATATTAACCGAATTTGGACGAGACTTTTGATGTAGGACTGCGCATCAAAAAGTCACCTAGATCATTATAAGACTACTAAGTACCATGATAAAAGTCTGGAGATCATGAAATTGGAGCGAGTGTAGCAATCAGATTGAACAAGTGTTAGTATAAAATGCTTCGGAAAAAAGATTTTCCAGTTGTTTCCTCTTCAAGCAATATGTTTACACTCATCTAATCAGCGACTAACACATCCAAAGGAATGAATTATATACCTCACATTGCATATATTTACAAGGACCTATTGTCACTAAAAATAAATAAATAGAAACTGTCAGAATTTAAAACTAGCTTCAGTGTTGCTTTATATTTTGGAAATAACTATTAACAACACTAACGGTTACAGTGCCACAAACAGTCATAAACCTCATTTAACAGCTATATGACGACGACACATACCAAGTGATCCACAATGCAAAGCAGCTCAGTGACGCATTTGAAGTGAAGATAGGAGTGAGACAGGGTTACCACCTAATATCACTCATGATCTTCCTCATTGTGATCGACTGGATCATGCAGCAGACAACTGTGAGGAGCAAGAAGATGGGCATACGCTAACTGGACCGATGAAAAGAACCTAGAAGATATGGACTTCACCACCAATGATGATTTATGCATGTCCAATGTCACACAAACTCAAAGATCTACAGGCGAAAACTAACAAGTTGATAGAGGAGGTGGGGCAGGCAGCGAAAATGGGACTTCAAGTGAATGTAGAGAAGACGGAGGTGATGAAGATAACCAACCAACCAACCAACCAACAACAACAACACCTAATCACAACAAGCATCAATCACCATGAACGGGAGACTCCTAGAGGAAGTAGTCTCTTTCACCTACCTCGACAAGGCAGCATCGTCTCAACTACAGGCAGTGGTATAGACGAGGATGTCAAAGCAACCAGGATCGGGAAGGCAGCAAGACACGCTCTCATTAATCTGAAATCAGTGTGGAGATCTACTGCACTCAGCTTAAAGCGTGAACAACATCCGGATTTTCCACACTAATGCCAGTCAAGTCGGTGCTGCTATGTGGTTCAGAAACGTGGCGCGTCACGAAAGGTACTTCCAACAAACTACAGATATTTATCAACAACTGCCTATGCTGGCTTGATACTGAAGATCAGATGGCCGGAATAATGAGAATAAACAACAAGGAACTCACTCTGGCCTCGCGACGAACCAACCAAGAACCTATCACCCAACAAATATTCAGAAGAAAGTGGAGATGGATTGGATTGGGCATACACTGAGAGGGCCGGTGGAGGACATCACGCACCAGATCAGGCCAGACCAGGCCAGGCGAGGCCTTTGAGTGGAATCCGAAGGGGAAACGATGAGTTTGGCATCCTAGCTGAGGGTGACATGGAGGTGACCGTATGAAGAGGAAATGAAAGCTTGTGGGCAGTCGTGGTGCCAGTTCCAGAAGACATGAGAGAAGAGAGTGAGATGGAGGTGTGCTACTGAAGACCTATGTTCCTCTAGGAACTCAAGTAAAAATAATAATAATAATTTATTGCATGAGACTTAAAAATAAACAAATGATTCAAAATCTGGCCGCCATCCAAAATTTCATTTCACCTTCATTCATCACGCAGTATAAATATATTTGTTTTCCAAACCACGGCTCTCAGATAGTCAAAATGACAATCAATCTGATGCTCTCTCTCTCTAATTCAGTTAGATTTCGATTGGGGTGAGACGTCCTGACTATGCATTCAGTGGGAATACAATCAAGTGATAGCTGCGAGTCACGAATCAACATATAAGTCGGGAAAAACCTTTGGCGATTGAAGTAAAACAAAACTTTAGTCAGCAGTTGAACCTCGTATCTCAGTTGGTAGAGCATCAGGCCGGAAACCAGGTGGTCGCCGGTTCAAATTGTCATTTCACCTTTAATCACCCGGCAGTATAAAATGGGAAATTGCAGAGAAAGTAGCATTTCATGATACTGTCAACACAGATAAAAATGACTGTGAGAAAGAATGTCAAAAATTAGGACATATGATAGCGACATACGCGTTTGGCCAATTGTACACTGAATAAGTTCATTAATAATGTGGCAGTTTTATTGTAAATCAAAAAATACAGTCTGGACCTACTTTTATAACCATGACTTCCACTAATAGTAGTAAAGTTCCCGTACTAGAAGTAAACATCGCACTGCTTCAACTCAGTAACTTTGGGTTGCTGTCACCGAAACCTCAACGGGAGATCAAAATGTCACCTCTGTCTACAAAAGTACATATAAAAAAAGGCTTAAAAAACTCAGGTGTAGTTCCAGTGGACGGAAAGTTCAAATTAAATAAACATGATATCAAGTGGCAGAACGTCTGTCAACGAGAAAAAAAAGAACTGAACTAATTGAAAAGTGAGTGATTTATGTCTTATGGAGAGTCAAAATAAGAATGCGGGTAGAAATGTTGAAATTGAACTCCAATCATGTTTTCCTCACTGTATTTAACAAATTCATAGCTTTCGATGCTTAGAAGGAGAGCGTATGTTTCTCAGGAGAACTTCTCCTGAAAACAGAATAAATGTATAATACCTGAACCACAAAAAATCGTTACTGTGCTATTTAGGATGTTTTACATGAATCGTAACTTCAAATGTAACTTTACTCTTGATGCAATAAAAAGAATAATTTATATCAGTCAAGACAGCATATTCTTTACATCAACACTGAAAATCGTATTCTCCAGTTAAAATCATTGTTTCCGGACAAATGAAGGAGAGATCTCTGCATCGATCACTTTAATATATGCTCATGTCTAGCCAGGTATACTGGTCGTTTGAAGTCCATTCTTTCCAAACCGGGGTGAAGACACCGTCATGAACTTCAGCAGAGGTGTCAGTAAATTCGTGGGAAAGCTGACTATTGAGCTTTTCGTTAGCATTAATTCCGACATCAAAATGAGTTCTTTTCTTGAAGACAATGTGTCTGTCTTTCTCTATGCATCAGGAAGCTAGAAATATGTATGAAAACTTGTCTCACCTATTTTGTTGTAGATATTACCACCGGCTTTAAAGATCAGTTTATTCTGTATCCAGATATCGTATTCGTGTTATTTCAGTGTCACTCTTCATCTCAAGGATAAGAATAAGCAACAAGGAACTCACTCTGGCCTCGCGACGAACCAACCAAGAACCTGTCACCCAACAAATATTCAGAAGAAAGTGGAGATGGATTGGATTGGGCATACACTGAGAGGGCCGGTGGAGGACATCACGCACCAGATCAGGTCAGGCCAGGCTAGGCGAGGCCTTTGAGTGGAATCCGAAGGGGAAACGATGAGTTTGGCATCCTAGCTGAGGGTGACATGGAGGTGACCGTATGAAGAGGAAATGAAAGCTTGTGGGCAGTCGTGGTGCCAGTTCCAGAAGACATGAGAGAAGAGAGTGAGATGGAGGTGTGCTACTGAAGCCCTATGCTCCACTAGAAACCCAAGGATAAAATAGTCATAATCACAGTGAGAATATCAATTCCCTAAGTGGATATAAAGCAGTTGTGTCATATTATGCTTAATGATACTATAAATTTTAACCGCGTTTCATTAGCTACCAATGACAATCAATTTATCATGAACCAAAACGCGCAAACCTTTGCTTTTAGGGCCATATAAAAAGCATTAATCGACGTATCTTTAAACGTCACTGCTTTGTTACATTCGGTAGATCATATGTTGACAATATATATCTGAATAATGCTAAACTGTGATTTAAACTCGTCTGAAAGACAGAAGTTTCGAATCTCAAAATTTACGAAGCTCATCCATGTATTTGCTAAATATGATGCACCCTAAAAAACCAACTACTGAAACTAGGAATCCATTTAACAAACTTAAATACTCAAGACAGATAGCAGGTTGCTTACCGTTGTTTTTTGTACGTAACTAATTCAAGAGCTACTTGAACAGGACTAAAACGCATATTCACAGGAAAATATAACAACAGAGAAGTTCAGACTAAAAACAGTTACTACTCTACGTCATGTAACCTGAAGTATAGCAGCCAGTGACTACAAGTATCAAACAACAATAATTGATATCCATTGCACAAGAGGTGGATTTCGTGCCCAAAGGACCTAGTGGGCAACGCTTTGGCATTTGAAGCGATGAGTACTGGGTTCGAGTCTCAGTAGGCACAACTGTACTCACTGGGGTATAGGTACACTCAGCCGATGGGTCCCAAACAGGGTGACATGCACGTCTTGGATTCCACTGCTAGCCACCAAGCAGACAACAAATGTAACAAGTAATCGGGGAATATGGAGGTATGCAAATAGGAGCCCAGCTGCTAATAGAGGTCGGGCACTTCAACTCAGTATAGTAATGGAGAATTAAGCTATGTTGTTTCAACAGCAATTCATACACAATGTTTTACAGAATTAAGACTCATTCTGAAAACTGTATCAGATGTAGTCTTAGTAAACGATGAACATTTGGAAAAAAGTTCCGATGAACACATTCAAGGAAAAGTTCAAAAACTTATAAAAAT